CACCTCGCTGTTCCATGTGAGGAAGAGCTCCCGGTAGCTGGAGATGTGGACGTGCTGAAGCTTCAGCAGCGGCATCAACTGTGGGGACAAGAGCGGAGCAAGTGGAGATGTTCGAGAAATCCTGCTTCTCGGCTCGTGCTTCTGTGCCACGGACCCCCACACAGACACAGCCTCCAGCTCTGAGTAGGGCTGGGGAGCGGGCGGCCGGGAGGGGCTGCGGCCTGGTGATTCGGAGCCAGACACCCTGCTGGGGGCCTGTCTTCCAGCATGTGCTGCTGGCTGTGCTGTGTGACCGAGGAGAGGCTCTTCAACGTCTCTGAGCCTCAAGCCTCATCTGAAAACAGCAGTGATGGCGGTATCTGCCTCACAGGGGCATCAGGGGGGGCTAAGGGGAGCTGGTGCAGGCAAAGTGTCTGTTGCAGAGGAAAGAAAGCCCCTTCAGGGGCAGCTGGAGCAGGTGGTGGCCAAAAGAAAGTGGGACATGGTCACACATGCGCCCAGCTCGCCTCCTGGGTGGCGCACACTCGAAGCCCCAGGGCCCTGCTCCCGGCTGAAGGTGCTTGAAGGGCCCACACAGTCGGGCTGCAGCAGTGGTGGCCGTGGCCACCAGGAGCCAGGCAGACAGCTGCTGGTGGTGGCAGGCTGGGCGCGGGAGCAGGTCACCTCGTGGGCTGGGGAAGGGAACAGGGATGTGCACAGCTTTGATGCGGTGAGGGCCATGCGAGGATCTCCCACAGCCTCCGCTTTACCAGCATGTGCCCAGCCCCTTGACTGTGCAACGGTCACACTGTGGACCGGACAGCTGTTTGCTGGCAAAGCTCGGGAGCGGGGATTCCAGAAAGAAGGCAAACAAGTAACCATTAACTAGGAGGGACACGTTTGGGTCATGGGAGATTTAAGAGAAACAAAGAAAGACTGCTCAGAGCCTTTGCCCAGCAAATCCAAGTGCACATGCTGTCACTGCTGTTATTATAAATCAGGATGTTCTTGGTGGTGGTGACTGGCTGACTAAGGAATGGAAAAGAATGTACATTTTCTTTGTTGGATGATAGTTCTGTAATTCCACATTTTCTACTATAACTAATATTTTTATAATTGAAGGAACAATATTTTAAAAGATGGTTCTTGATAGACTAGCCCTGGGCCCTAGGGAACACTGAAACCTTATCTTCTCGGAGAACATATATTCTAAGTTGTCTGTGCCTGATTTAGAAATGAATGTTTTGGGCACAGACTCCCTTCATGACCTGGGGTTTCTGGCTTCACAGCATGGGGCAAGATCTGGTTGGTTCTGACCCTCCCTCCATGCCTCCACTGAGGCTTCTACCCGGTCATTCCATAGAAGACAGAACAGTCTCTGTGTGCTCTGCATCATGTCCTCTCGAAAGGGTGCCCCCCTGGGAATTACCTCCTCCAGGGCCTCATTGGCCTGATGCTCATCGATACATTCCACCTGTAGGGGTACAAGATCACTAACTCAGTAAATGTGTAGTCAGCCCATCACCACCACCACCATCGCCAACATCATCACCACCATCATCACCACCATCATCACCACCATCACCAACATCAACACCACCATCACCACCATCACCATCAACACCACCACCATCATCATCACCACCACCATCACCACCATCATCACCACCATCATCACCACCATCGCCAACATCATCACCACCATCACCACCATCATCATCATCTCCATCATCACCACCATAAATATCATCCACGTCACCATCAACATCACCATCATCATCAATCACCATCACCACCTTCACCCTACCTGCACCCCACCCCCATTTCTGGAAAAAAGAAAGACTGGCTGGCTTTTTAAAAAGCTCCTCGATTGCCCAGAAGGCAGTGGGCTCCGGCCTCACTGGCCCATGAGACAGTGGGGCCAGCCTGCCGCGGGGCGGGAGGAAGGCAAGGACTCCAGGCCCAGCGTCCTCGGCCAAAGGCTTCTGAGCAGCTCCACAGGCAGGAGGCCTGGCTGAACAAGTGGTAGCCCTAGCGGCTGATGCCTGCGACACTCCTCCGTGTGCACGGTCAACCCCAGTGCCACGGTATCCCCGCCACCACCGTGTGCCACGAGAGGGTGCCAGGGACGCTCATGGCGCAGCTCTCTTCTCCTACAACTTCTGTTCAGCTGAACCACCTTGACTTGGACACACAAAGCGCTCGCCCCCTGCAGCTCCGTACCCCAACCTGCCATGCCAGCCCTGGTGAGGACGTGGTGGAAAGGCCCATCGAGGTCTTGCCCTTAGCTTTGTGTGACCTTGGGCCAGCCCCTGCCCCCTCCTCCTCCACCCCGGCCTGCTCCCCTTGGTAAAAAGGTAGCTTGAATTCAAATGCTCTTGGGAGCTACGTGCCGTTGGCCAGTCTGCAGCCTCCCCGAGCCTCCCTATCCTCGGCTGTAGAGGGGCCCCCAGTTCCTGCTTTGCAGGGTTGGCGGGAGGCTGAATGGGATGAGGCTGGCCTGAAACACCTGCTGAAGAAATGGTGGGGGGGGGGTTGCAGACGCTCTCCAGGTGAGAGCGTCAGGTGCGCCGGGAAGCCCAAGGAACCTCAGGCCGCCCCCAAGGCTACTCTCGCCGGGATCTGCCTCTGTGACCGCTGGCAGAGAGGAACCAGCTGTCACATTGGGAGGCCCCTCTCCAACATGGGGATGATGAGTGGATGTCTGGGGAACCCATGCCCAGGAGCCACCTCTTACCTGCTTTATCACGCGCTTGACTTTGTTTTCTCTTTCCTCCACCACCAGGTTCACCCCCAAGGCCCCAGGACTCATCTGGCCCAAAATCTATCAGCAAGAGGAAGAGAAGCATTCAGGAAATGCACACGGCTTTTCCCTTCTGGGAGTGTGCTCAGCCCTGTGGCTTCTCCTGTAGGCTGGTCGAGCGTCTCCACCACACTATGCAGAGAAGGAAATGTCCAGGAGCCCGAGGAACCCGGGCCCATCTCTCTGAGGCCCATGCTGGAGCTCTTTCCACCACCCGCTACCGCTTCTCCAACTTGCAGCAGGGACCAGTGGGCGCCGAGGAGCCAGCATCAGCCCACGTGGGGCACAGCTTTAGTCACTGTCTCCAGCCACCTCTTATCCCTGCTTCCCGCACCCCGCCCGAACTCAGCATCCAAACCAAAAAACTAACTGGCCCATCATGGTGCGTAGTCACAGCCGTGGGTGGCCTGGCCCTGGTGCCAAACACCCTACAGCCGCCTGTGAGCAACACTGTTGCTCTCTAATGTTCACACCGAAGGAAACGGAGGCACAGGGAGTGAGGTCCTCGTGTCTGAGGCTAGAGTGCTAATAAGTGAGGTGGCCTGGATCAGACTGGAACTCGGGCCTGAGTCCGGACCTTTTGCTTTGAACCAAACCTGCAGAGAGAGGGTTGCCGTGTCAGAGCTCTGTGCAGGGAGGCCAAGGGCCACCGGGGTGGGGTGGACACTGGCATTACAGGTCAGAGGATGGAAGAGACCTGGCAAAATGCAGAGGAGTGAATGCAGGAGACGGAACCGAGTCTGGGGATGCTCAGAATCCAGGCAAGTCTTGGATTCTGTCATCCAGCCCCTGTGAGTGGCCTGAAACCAGCTTAGGGAGTCGGGGGGCCAATGTCCCGAGCAGCTTACGCCAGTTTAAGAAGGTGCATGCCCAGGCCCTCTTCAGAGGCAGGTAAAACAGTAAAACACACTGTGTCTCAGGTGGAAGCTGTTGTTTCTTCCTGAAAAGGTGCCTTTGCCTTCCGAATTCTCTGGCCCCCGGAAACTCACCTCCTTTACCACTGGCTGACTTCCCGGCTGTCCTCCCACACGAATGGGAGTTCTTACAAAGCAAGAAAAACCTAATCTACAAATTGTTTTCAAATTAATGACATTTTTACAAAGGCTGAATCTAACATTTAATGAAGGTGACGTATTATGTATAGAAGCAGTTAATTAAACGTTCATTCATTTTCATTTTGCGGCTTTCCTTTCGTTTTGTGAATTTTTCAAGTCTTACACGTTTTCACAGGCCCTGGAAAAGGCCCAAGTCCTTCTCCCCGGGACTAGGGATGGCCTGTATTGGAGTTTGGTGGCTACTGATTCTGAATTTTGGACGCTCTAGGGTGCCCTGTCCCGGCGGGCCCAAGGAGAGGCAGAGGAGGGCGAGGTGGAGTGCCCTCGCACCAAGCATTCAGACAGATGGGGGTGGACCGTCCTTCATTTCATCCATCATTTTAGAGAGGGGGAAACTGAGACCCCAGGAGGCAAAGGGCACCCAGGAGGTCACCTTCGGAGGGACCCGAGGTCACCCTCCTTGCTGGAGGCATACCCTGACCGGGGTGGCACCTGGCCATCGGCCACCTCTCCAGGGGCAGTGACCAGTAAACCAGTAAGTAGGGGGCTGGGGAGGTGGCCGGAGGTCCGGGTCCCTGGGTCGCCCCAAACCGGCGGGCTCTTGTCGCCCCTGCCTCCCCGCCAGGGAAGAACTTGGCACCTGGTACTTCTCCATAGTGTCTCCAGGGGAGACTCCCAGCCACTCCTTCCTCCGCAGGGCGCTGGGGGTACGTCCCCAGCCCTCGCCGGCGCGCGGACCCTCGACTGAGCATGCTCAGGAGAGACGGCGTCCGGGCGAGCACCCCATCCCCCACCCCGGGGGCGACCGTCTGCCCCTGGTGCGTCCGCCGAACTGTGCGCTCCGGGGCTCCCGCCGGCACCTCCAGCGGGTGGCCCGGGGGCCTGGTGGCCGCGGAGCGCGCCACGGGAGGGGCCTGAGGAGGGTGGGCGGGGCCTGCGAGCGCGACGGGCGGGGCGGGGCGGAGGGCGGGGCCGGAGGGCGGAGGGCGGGGCCGGAGGGCGACGGGCGGGGTCGACGCGCGGCGGGCGGAGCCTCGAGCGCGGCGGGCGGAGCCTCGAGCGCGGCGGGCGGGGCGGCGGCGGGCGGCGCGCGGCCCCTTTAAGGCGCGGCCGGGGCGGGCCGGGTGGCGCGGCCCCTTTAAGGCTTGGCCTACGTGGCAGCCGCTGGAGCCGCGGACAAGGAGCGAGGCCGGTCGCCGGGCACTTCCTGTGGAGGCCGCAGCGGGCGCGGGCGCCGACGGGCCGAGCGCCGAGCGAGCGAGCGAGCTGAGCGAGCCGAGCCTCCCGCCGCCGCCATGGGCCAGAACGACCTGATGGGCACGGCCGAGGACTTCGCCGACCAGGTGCGGCCTGCAGCCCGGCCGGGCCTCCCGTCCCCGGCCCCCGCCCCGAGCCCCCCTCCCGCGGGGCCCCCCGACCCCCGCCGCCCGCCCTCCCCTCGGGTCTCGAGCCCTCGGCCGCCCGCAGAGCCGGCCCCGACCCCGGAGGGCTGCCCCGAGATCTGGGCCGCGTCCCCGCTGCGCCCCCCCCCCGCCCCCGACCCGGCCGGCGGATCGCGCCCCCTCCCCCAACCGGGGCATTCCCTCCCGGGCTCGTCGCGCTTCCCGGCTCGGGACTCCCCCGGCCCGGCCTCCCGGCCCGGCCTGTCCTGGCCGCCGCCTCCCCGCCGGGACTCTGGGTGTGTTCTCGGGCCGTGCGTCGGCACCCGGGTCGGCGAGCTGTGCCCCCCGAACGCGGACCGGGCGCTCCCAGAAGAAGAGGGGCGTGGAGGGGCTGCCTCGCCCCCTCATGAGAAGGGAGCCCGGGGTCCTGGGGTCCTGGGAGCGACGCTGGTTTGGGCCAAGTCTGGCGACCCGGAGCGTCCTCTCCCTTCTGAACCGTCGGGGTGGTCCCTGCGCGCTTCCCCGTTCACTGGCACTCCTAGGGGGCGGGGTGGGGAGCTCCGGTCCTGAGCGGGGGTTGGTCCGCCTGGAGGCCTGGGGGGCCCTCCCGGAGAGGGGTGCGCCCCGGTGTGTGCCCCGCTAGAGACAGCCTCGGCACTTTTCTCTTTGCTCTTCCCCAGATGTGTTGGGCTCGTGGGGTCCCTCTGACCCTCCCCGCGTTTTCCCTCCCTGTTTGGACTCTGCCCTGGGACCGGATTGAATGGGTCCCTATCTGCACACAGACCTGGGAGGAGGGGAAGCCCGTCTTCCTGGGTTGGTTTTTTTCCCTCCCAAGCCGCAGGGAGGCTGGAGCAGGCAGTGGACGCACACCGGATGGACCGAGTCAGACCCTAGAAAGGGGGAAGGACAGCGCTGCCACCCTCTTTCAGTTAAGCTTTCGACTATGTAGTGTCCCTTGTACTTGTAAAAGTATCCCGTTAGGTCTGTGGGTCAACAGCCTCATCTCTGCCAGGCCGACCCGGGTCTCGCCCTGTTGCCATTTTGTTCCTTGGTTTCCTTAATGCGTTTGCGGTTTTTGCCAGAGGTAACAGTAGTGAGGTTAAGTTTTTAATTTTTATGGAGGTCGCGTTGAGTCCTCGAACGCCGAGGCCTAAGCTTATGGGAAGGCTCGCCTGGGTTTGTGTGATTTTAAAAAAGATAAAGGTGTCTCGGATCAGGTGCGGGTGAGCCGGGTTTTCCGCTGTTCCCCTCGAGGGCGGAATCTTCCAGTGTGGGCTGCTCCTCGGTTCTCCTTCCACCGCTTTCCTGTGCGCTGGTATCTGAAGACCAGTTTGGGGGAGAAAAAAAGTGTATCAGTTTGAAGAAATAGTTTTCCCTGAGGTCAGGGTTCTGTGTTTACAGACAGTGTAAAACTGCGTCCTTCGCAGAAACAACTGAGGCGGAGAGCTCTCAGGAACCGAGCAGGCCTTCCGTCCCTGTCGGTTTTCACTGACGGTTTTCGTGGCCCGATTTCATTTCCCCAAGTAGCAACTCGCGAAGAAGATGGCTCCTTTCAGCCGAGGGGGCCGTGGGAGCTCTGTACACTCACTCTGCAGTCTGGAGAACCCTGATTTTGCAAGTGCATTTCATAACCAAATCCAGCTAAAACGTCTCTAACCCAGCTGCTGCCAGCGATCAAATGATAAACTTTCCTACAGGAAAAAAAAAAGTTAAAAATCTCTTTATGTAATCGTTTCTTCTTTTTCTCCACGCGTTTTATTTGAAATGGAAGAAGCAGAATCTTGGAACCGGAAAGGCCCTTGAAGGGGACCCAGGGTCTCCCTGCGCCAGGTTACTGCTGGGAAGGAAGGCAGGGCCTGCTGGGGTCTGCCCTGTGCTACACAGGACAAGCTCTTGAGGCCTGGTGTTCTTCTGGCACAAAAGGAGGGACAAGGACTGGCCTCACCAAAGGGCACGCGCCACCACACCTGGCTCCCGGAGCGGCCCAGGGCTGTGTGCGTCAGGCCGCGCGGGCTCCCACGGTCGGCTTCTCCGAGCCAGGGCCCACCCGATTGGTGGCAGCAGATGTCCGAAGACATCTCCGTGCCCCCTTGTGGGTGACTTGGGAGGGCAAAACCAAAGTCTCCAAAACTTCAAAACCAAAATCAGGAGCCTCTGCTGCCACAGGCAGGCTCGACGCAGGAGGATGTGGGCAGATCAGAGCACAGATCCCACGTGACAGTTTCCCGTGGACAAAATCTGGCCAAGCTGCCGTGGCGTTTTTGTTTCTCGCATCGATCCACTACTATTAAAACAAAGCCGCCAATGATAAAGGTGCTTGAGTCCAGGCTTTTAGAACTGAAAATGATTTCATTTGAAAGGAATAGGGAAATACCGAAGGCACGGATCAGGCAGCGTGATGCACCCAGCTTCTCTCACCCGGCCTTCAGAAAACAAAAGCACACATCAAGTGACAGAGTTTGACCTGAAAGTCTGGGCTAGTGAGAGGGAACCTAAAAAGGCCTGTGTTTCCCACAGTACTTAGGACCACAAGCCCAAGACACTCACTCTGGGCCAGGCCATCCGGGTGTAACGCTGTTACCGTCTGGAAGCGTGCGAGGCTGCCCGCAGCGCCTACACCTTCAGCAGCGGGGAGGGCGGTCTTGCACGGCTTGCAGTGGGCTCAAGCTCTCAGTACCGAAGGCTGGGCTCCTGGCCTCCTGGCCGGCCCGCACCCTTTCCTTCAGGCCCACAGAGGGGAGAGCACGGGGTCAGCTGTTCGGTTAGTTCTGGCTGGCAGGCCCCTGGAGAGCCGCACCCCTGGCATCAAGCTCCTCGCCCTGGGCAGCCAGGGACAGTGACCCGCTCCCAGGAAGCCAGGCCCTAGAAAAAATGCTGAGCGTGCCCTCTGCAGACGCTAGGCATCCAGAAGCCATCTGAGACCAGGTTCGAAGGAGCCAGAGACCAATGAGCTCAGCAATCCGGAGTGACGTCTGTGTCCTGCGGCCGGGGCTCGCTGCCATTCAGCACCGCGTAACCCCGGAGCTCTTCTGCACCAGTCAGCAGGAGTATTAGCACCTAACGGGTTCGGCCTGACAGCTCATCACCAAGGTGACAAATAAGCTGAGTGGGGCCTTGGTTTCCTGGGGCGCTGTTGGTTTTTACCTGTCTTTGGCATGAGTGAGCCAGTCCTAGGAGCTCTGACCCCCAGGTGCTCCCCTTGGCCTGTGGTCAAGCCTTGGGCAGCGAGGATGGCCTGACTGAACAGGGCCAGGGTGCACGTAGGGCACAGGTGTTAGGGCTTTGGGTCAACTGTGTGGATGGCCGCTGGATGCGAGTAAGGCTCCGGGGACGGTGGTGGGTTCTGAGTATCTCGTTCCTCTCCTCTGTGCCCCCCCTCCCTCCCAGGGCTTCCTGCCTTACGCCACCAGGAGTAAGGGGAGAGGGCACGGAGGGCTCATTCTTCCCTGCTTGCCCATCCTAGGAGGTTAGAAGAGCCGCCCTGCCTCTTCTGGGGAGCAGGGTGGAGACATGGGGGACTGCGGTCGGTGAGGCGCCTCCTGGAAAACGAGGCACAGCTGTGTTCTGGTCCGTGGGACCTGTCGCTGCTCTCCTAAGCTTGGGCTCTTGGTCACGTGGGGTTTTGGTACACACCAGGGCCTGCTGACACTTGTTCCTGGAGGTGCGGCAGGAACCCACAGACAGCAGCACGCTGGGAGACTTGCTGGGGGGCTCTGAGGTCATGGCAGATGAACACGTGTGCGTCCCTGAACTCTTGCTTCAGCCCTGACTCAGCCTGATGCGAGGGAAGTCACCAACCACAAGTTCTAATTATCCGGGATGTGTAGGCTTGATGTGGTCCTTGAGAAGGGCAGCCCCGCTCCCTGGCGATCAGAAGGTGTGACTTGCCCTCTTCCACTTCCTCTGAGTTCTCCACCAGGAATTGCACACTGTGTCCCTCCAGTCCCTTCCGTCCTGAATACTCAGAGACAGTCGGGTTCTCTGTGCTGCAGGTGGCTGTGGGCTGTGATCACGAGTTCGGTCGCAGGTGGGGTATGTTTCCGAAATCCCCTCCAGAACTGGAAGCCTCGTCAATGAGTCTCGCTCTCTGTCTTGCCCAAGTCCCTCCGATGCTCACTGCTCTGAACCATACCGTGCTTGGCGCTGGGGTTCTTGGAGATGCCTGTGAGAAGCCCGCCCCACAGAGGCCGGCCATCCTGGCCCGCGGTCTGTCCCTGCTCAGTCTCCCCCTCCAGCTCTCTTGCCATGATTTGCTCCCGGGAGTGGCAGCGTTCTGCAGGGCCTGTTGGCGTGTTGGACGCCGGTGCTGTGCGCACACCGGACGGGGGACCACTCTGGGCTCTTGGGCACTGCCAGGTGCCTGACTCGGGCTCCTCCCTGATCTGTCAAGGGGATGCGGTCCACAGATGCGGGATGTGGATTCAGCGGCCAAGTCTGAACCGTTGTGACCGACACACATTCAGGGAATCCGTAAAATTGGGTCTGGCCTCGTGTTTATTTTTTAAACCATCATTATTATTTTTTTTAATGATTTTTTTTTAAGATTTTATTTATTTATTTGACAGAGATCACAAGTAGGCAGAGAGGCAGGCAGAGAGAGAGGGGGAAGCAGGCTCCCCGCTGAGCAGAGAGCCCGATGCGGGGCTCCATCCCAGGACCCTGGGATCATGACCTGAGCCGAAGGCAGTGGCTTAACCCACTGAGCCACCCAGGCACCGCTTAAACCATTTTTTAAAATGATTTTTATTTATTTGTTTGATAGAGGGCATGCACAAGCAGGGGGAGTGGCAGGCGGAGGGAGAGGGAGAAGCAGGGAGCCTATTGTGAGGTTCAGTCCCTGAGATCACGAGATCATGACCTGAGCCAAAGGCAGACACTTAACCAACGGAGCCACCCAGGTGCCCCAGACTGGGTCTGACCTTGTGTTTAAGCATAGGTTTTTTTCCTTTTTTTTTTTTTTTTTTAAAGATTTTATTTATGAGAGAGAGAGAGCAAGCCTGAGTGAGAGCATGAGCGGGGGGAGGGGCAGAGGGAGAAGCCGACTCCCCACTGAGCAGGAGCCTGACGTGGGGCTCCCTGAGACCATGACCTGAGCCGAAGGCAGATGCTTAACCGGCTGAGCCCCTGAGGCGCCCCTCCAAACCTCTTTCAAACCAGCCAGCCTCTAATAAGCACCTGTGTGGACTGAACATGGGAGAAAAAAGCCTATGTTCGGGGGTGCCTGGGTGGCCCGGTCAGTTACGCCTGCTTCCCCTTCTCTCTGCCTGCCGCTCCCCCGCTTGTGCGCACACACTCTATCAAATAAATAAAATCTTTAAAAAAGAGAGAGATTCTGGAGCAGTGTGACTTACAAAATATAGTCGGCTCAAAGCCTAGACCACATCTGACTTTGAAAATCAGATAGGTGCTTAGTTCACAGCAGAGATTACCTGAATTTTGGCATTTTTCCCCCCAAGCTCAGAGCGTCTCCTCAGCATGTCTTGTGGGGAAGGGAGGAGTCTCTCTGTTGCTTTTTAATCCTCTTGACCCAGACACTCAAATTAGGGGTACAGACTCCTCTCGGAACTTTTAAACACTGCCTGTGTCTCTTGGGCCATTGCCGCGGAGCAGTGCGTGTGCTCAGTGGGGCTGCCTGATGATGGTGAGGGCTCCGAGCGAAGCCCAGGGGCGCCGGCTCCTTTATCCTCTTTGGGGAGCACGGGAGCGCCTTTCAGCTCCAGCTCGGAGGCAGCCCAGCACCCCCTGATGTCTGTCTGCCTGCCTTTTGGGGTCAGCCTCCCCTGGAGTCCCGCTGCGGCTCCATTCCTGTGTCTCTGCGGACTGCACGGGGGTGAGTCCACCGGTGACTCTTGCTGGGCCTTAGGAGAGCATCTGGGCCCCTGAGGCGGAAAGGGCAGGGTTGGTGGCATCCGCTGCCCCTGTTCCCACGGGTCTGACACCGGGGTGTGTGGATGCCGACTGTCCGTACGTCTTATGTGCGCTACGGAGACTCCCGAGTTCACAGGGGCATTCGAGGCCTCTCTTTCCAAACAGGGTTCTTTCTCCTTCCTTTCTCTCCTCTGCTCACTCAAGTTGGAAAGAGTCTTAGCAACCACCCATCCAGCCGTCCTCTCTCTGTGGGAGGATAGCAGAACCCGTCCCCTGCCTCCCAACTGATGGGGCTTGGCTGTGACCACACAGTGCACGGGCCCAGCCTCGTCTTCGCAGATGTGCCTGGTCGATGGTCCAGGCGTGTCTTGTCTCTCACCGTGACCTCTGTGGTCAAGGGCTGAGCAGGCGGGTGCAGAAGCACCACCTTGGGGCTCAGTCAAGCTCAGGAGGGGTGTGGAGAAAGGCCGGCTGGCTCGGAAGCTCCTTCTCCTGCTCTCCCTCCCTCCCAGGTGAGCCTGTCTGCTGTGGCCCGGGGGAGGGGGAGGGAGGCTCCTCTGCTGACCCGGCCAAAGTGTGCCCGCCAAGGTTCACTGGAACAGCCGGAGGCTCATTCCCTGCGGCCGGGGACGTCAGCTGTGTCTGGAGCTGGGAAGCAGCTTTTCAAAACGCCAACAATTAAGAGATGCTCTTAGAAACCAGACATACTTCCACTGGTGCCAGTAAGTTTTCATCAGCTCTAAGAGGGACTGTGACGTTCATGTGACCGTCCCTCTGTGGGGTCAGACCCACAGATGCCCTTTGGACTCTGCCGCCCGACGCGTCACTCCCGTGGGTGGGTCCTGGTCTTCCGCAAATGGCCGCGGTCACCCTGGGTCGTAGGGTTTCTCTTTGCACTTCTTTTAGAGGTTGGAAAGAGAAAGTGGCTGTTGGGACCCGAGGGACACTGGTGCCCCGATTCAGCTCGCGTATTTGTTTCCTAACGGTGCCTTTGTTAATGGCCCACCCTGCAGGGCAGGAGGAACTCCTAAACCTGTTTTCTGTCTCCTTGATGTTTGCCAGCGAGTTTCCGAACTTGAATTTCGCTGCTGTTGACACAGTCGTCCATCCGTTTGTCAGCGTGTCTTTGTGGGAGACTCAGGGCCGTGGAGCCGTGAGCCACTCCAGCTCCCCATGGGCGCTCCCAGTGGCAGCGCCCTGCGGTCCACCTGCCGTGGCGCGGACTCTGGGCCGGGCCAGGAAATGCACGTGTGGCGGCCAGAGCCTCCCAGTGGCTCTGCAGGTCCCGGCCACCTGGACACATGGGAGCTTACCATTGGGTCAACCTAGAGGCCCTCTAGGCCCGGGACCCTGGCTGTCACTTAAGCGGCCTGTCATCTCAAGAGTGTGCTCGGCTTCCGTCTTGAGGGGATCTGAGTGTCGCTAGGGTGCGGGGGGCCACGCTCGGCTACGTGTGACCAACAGGCAGCGTTGGGTAGGTGCGGTGCTGAGCGAGCCCCTCTCCCCTGGGCGGGGTTCAGTTTGCCCGTTTGTCCCACCAAGGGACATGTGGCACTGCCTGGAGGCAGTTTTGGTTGTCGCAGTAGAGTGGGGCTGCTAATGGCATCTGGCGGGCAGAGGCCAGGGCAGCCCACGATAGAGAAGGGCTCTGTGCAGATGCCCGGGGGCGCAGGTAGGGAGACGCCCCGTGCACAGCTTGTCACAAGGTCATCCTAATTCACTGAGGCCCTTGCCTGAGAATACGAGCCGTGTGTCTTGTGGCCGCCCCACGTTTTGACGACCGTCATTGCCGCCTGGACACGGGTGCCGAGAGGACAGGCGGTCACAGAAGGGCGCGGTGGCCGTCGCCCCGGGGGTCTGAGCCAGACAGGCCGATGGCACGGCCAGACCCACGGGGCAGTGCTGAGGGAGGTGCTGAGGGGCCCTGCGCCTGTGGGGGCCAGGGCCGCCGCAGCCGCCTCAGCGGGCTCTCTGGGCCCGCAGTTCCTCCGGGTCACGAAGCAGTACCTGCCGCACGTGGCGCGCCTCTGCCTGACCAGCACGTTCCTGGAGGACGGCGTCCGCATGTGGTTCCAGTGGGGGGAGCAGCGCGACTACATCGACAGCACGTGGGGCTGTGGCTACGCACTGGCCTCCGCCTTTGTGCTCCTCAACCTGCTGGGGCAGCTGAGTGAGTGGCCCGCGGCGCGGGCGGCATTCCCGGGGATGCGGTCAGAGCGCGTGCTCGGGGGCTGGGGGAGAGGGCGGGTCCCCGAGGGTCTCCTGGGGCGGCTGGCGCTCTCCCTCCCCTCCCTGCCTGGCAGCGGGCCTCGGGGTGGGTGCTCTGGGCCGCTTGGGAGATCTGGGCGATCTGGGTGGGCCCAAGAGGAGCGGAGGGGCCAGAGCCCAGGAAGAGGGCGAGGGGAAGGACCACGGGCAAGGGAGAGCGGAGGCTGGAGAGCAGCTTCCGGGGGCTTCAGGTCCTCTGCTCCTGACCACTCTCTCCTGGTGGCAGCCCCTCCCCGGGACCTTGCGGGGCAGGAAAGGGGCCTTTTCAGCCCCTCCCGGAGCGTTTCCGAGGCCCCTCCCACTCTGTCTGGGAAGGGGCCACTTTCTGGAACGGGGTCTGCGAAGCGAGGCCCAGTTGACGTGGGTGTGGTCCGTGCCACTCACTGGCTTCCTGGAAGTTGCTTTTCCCTCGGGGTGGTTCGTGGGGCTGCTGCTTCCCGGGGGGCTGGCCGCAGCCCCTGAGCCTTGCCCTCGTCCTTTGCAGCCGGCTGCATCCTGGTGCTGAGCAGGAACTTTGTGCAGTACGCCTGCTTCGGGCTCTTTGGAATCATAGCGCTGCAGGTACGCGGGGCCGAGGCCCGGGCGCGCGCTTCCTCGCGGTGGCGGGAGCAGAGCTTCTGCACAAAGGTGTCTCTGGGGGGCCCGCGGCCCCCCCCCCCCCCCCCCCAGCCCTCTGCCTTTGCCCGGACCTCCTGCTCTTCTCTGAGAAGTCACTGGAATTTCCTCCAAGCAAGCGCGTTGGAGCGGGAGAGGCTGGTGCCCGGAGAAGCTGCCAGGCTCTGGGTGCCCACCTTCGGGCCGCCTCACTGAGTTTCCTTTGACGGGGGACAAACCACAGGGTTGGCTACAGCCAAGACACTGTCTCACCGTTTTCCCTCATAAAGCGCGCCCGGCCGGCCGTGTGAGCTGTGCGACCCGTAGCGCGTGACCCTCAGCGCCCCAGCCCACCGTGGGCTCCGGGGGAGCAGGTGCTGGCTCGGCAGGCCCGGGCCGAGACGTGCTGAGCCCGGGTGCTGAACTCGGAGCCGTCCTGGGGCCCTAAACCAGTGGTGTGTCTTACGTTCGCACTACACCGGAGGAACTGCCTGCCACAGCTGATCGTGTAGAAACCCGGGTGGGTTGGAAATGCTGACTCCAGCTTCTGTCTGTCTCCTCTGTTCCCTCCAGACGATTGCTTACAGCATCCTGTGGGACTTGAAATTTCTGATGAGGTACGTGTGCGCCCCACGGCGAGCTTCTTTTCGTGGCTCTCAACTCCGGAACCAGCAGTCAGAGGGGACGTCTTTGGGTCCAAGCATGCTTGGAGTCTGTTGGGGTGTTGGCAGGGGCACCTCTCCCCGCCCCCGAACCCAGGCCCGGATGAAGCCGTCTCCCCTGAGCCTGTGTTCACGAGGGAGGGAAGGAGGCCCAGAGTGAGCTCTTGCTCACAGGCCGGTCGCCCCTAGAGCCAGGGCTAGGACGGGGCCCAAGTGTGATCAGGTTCCTGTCCCTGTTGGGCAGAACAGACGCGTCTGTCTTGAGCCCTGGGGGGCCTTTGCGGGCGGAAGCGGTCATCCAGCTGGTCCGTCTTGGTTTGGAGAGAGGGACCCGAGGGCCTTGCCCGGGCTCCCGCCAAGGTCTCCCCACCCGGTGCGACGGGCACGTGTCGGGCCCGGTGAGCCGTATCGACCCGCCTGGCCGGTCTGTTCCCAGGAATCTGGCCCTGGGAGGAGGCCTGCTGCTGCTGCTGGCGGAGTCGCGCTCCGAGGGGAAGAGCATGTTTGCGGGCGTCCCCACCATGCGCGAGAGCTCGCCCAAGCAGTACATGCAGCTCGGGGGCCGGGTCCTGCTGGTGCTCATGTTCATGACCCTGCTGCACTTCGACGCCGGCTTCTTCTCCGTAAGTGTCCCGCTCGCTCCAACGGGCAGGTCTCCTGGCTTCGGGAAGGCGCGCTGCTCGCAACCCCTCCCCCGGTCGTCGGGGGCCGTCAGAGCCGTGTCGGAACGAGTTGGCTCCGAGGAAGCGAGCCTTTGATCCTGTTAAAAGGAGTGAAAACCCGGCAGGCTCTCGTGGGCTCAGGGTGGACAAATGAAGTCCAGAGTCTCCCTGACCCCGCGGGAGGGCCTGGAGCGGGTGCACCAGCCCCGGGCTGCCCACCCAGGCTCTTCACAGACTCTCCCTGCCTCCCTTGCCCATTGCTCACACCTCTGCACGCAGGTGTCGGCCTCAGAGCAGAAGGTCCTGTCTTGTCCCCGGGAGCTTACAGTGCACATCTGGGGGACCCACTGGGTGCCCTGGCCGGGAGGGGTCCCCAGGAGGGGCTCCTGGTGCCATGGTTGGGGGAGCCTGGTTCTAAGGCGTTCTGGGGCAGAACTACCCCGATAGCTTGCGGGCCCACAGGCTCGGACCTGAGCGTGTCGTAGGTCACGGCCTGTTGGCTGGAGGCTGACCTTGACCCTCGCCCCGAGGGCTTGTGCTTCGGAGCGCTGCTCTCTCCGTGCCACCCCCAGCCCCCTCGGGTGTGAGCACAGCACACGCCCCTCCGTGACCAGGGCACTGGCAACTTGCCTGATTATAAAACAGGGTATGTCTCTTCCTCACCTTTTTGGGGGGATTTCTTACCTTTCCGACCTCTGCAGATTCTCCAGAACATCGTGGGCACAGCTCTGATGATTTTAGTGGCCATCGGTTTTAAAACCAAGCTGGCTGCTTTGACTCTTGTCGTCTGGCTGTTTGCCATCAACGTGTACTTCAACGCCTTCTGGACCATTCCTGTCTATAAGCCCATGCACGACTTCCTGAAGTACGACTTCTTCCAGACCATGTCGGTGATTGGAGGCTTGCTCCTGGTGGTGGCCCTGGGCCCTGGGGGCGTCTCCATGGACGAGAAGAAGAAAGAGTGGTAACAGACCCCCTCCCTGCCTGGCTGAGACCCGCGGCCACCGAGGACTGGTTCGGGGTGGATTGACAAAGCTGCCAGCATTCATGTGTCCTCTCCCTCCCCTCCCTTGGTCAAGGCACAGATGTTTTGAGAGTTTCTTTGCAGACACCTGAAAATTGATGGCTAAATTTGCTCTGGACCCCTAACCTAGTAGCCGACCATGGGAGCCGGCCGGCTAGCAGGCAGTATTCCCCCCCGCCCCCCACTCCCAAGGCAAGGCCTCGGCTTCTCGGAGCGAGTGCGGGCTTGGCCGCGGCCTCCTGTCCTAGTCTGTTTGGGGGCTGCGGGTGGGGGCTTCAAGCTGTACTGTGAGCAGATACATTTGTGTATCACTCTGAGTATGCTTTCAGTTTACGTTTTTAACTAAAACGAAAGGATTCGGGATGGCCCAGCCCAACATCAGACACACCAAGTCCCGGTTTTAAACCGCTCCCATGGCTCCGAGTGGTCCCCGTCCCACACTGTAACACTCGCGGAGCCGGTGACGGCCTAGAGACCCAGACCCAAAGAATGATGCTGCCCGGGCGGGGCGGCCGTGGCCACTGTTCACAGTGGAGGTCACTCGTCAGAAAACCGCCTCAGATTGGGGCTGATGTTTGAAAGGGCAACCTGCCCTCCCCCACCCCAGGAGCTTTAGTGGCTCGAGGTGGGGACAAAGGCGCTCCAAGTCCTCGGATGCCCCTGGAGCCTGCAGGGACCCATGCTCCGACCCTGGCCTGGCCACATACCTGCAGGTTGGCTCCCGTGTGAGGGGGGTGGGCCCGGTGGCAGCCGTGGGGGCCGGGCGGCAACACAGCGGGCTCTCAGACCAGTTACCTCACCCCGACCTCTGCACAGAGCCTCCGCTGAAGCCGTGGGCCCAGCTCCAATGTGGCTGGGCGCCCGCGCGGTTCTCCCCCGGCTAGAGGGGGGGGGTCTTCCCAGGCTGTGCAGCCGCGGCCTACCACCCTCCCTAGGCTGTCGCTTACTCAGATCGTCTATCTGCTATGCTGAATGCAGCCCAAATTACTTTTTAAGATTTGTGATGCCTTACCGATTGGATCTTAATCCTGTATTTAAAGTTTTCTAACATTGCCTTATACTGCGTTTCTCTTCTTGGGGGGTACGAGCGCCTGTGGCTCTTCTCCACTCGCTGGGCCGGAGCAACACCGCGGGGGACGAGTGGGACACCTCGGTGCCTCCCCCCGACTCTCCTGGGGGCAGGCTGACCAAACTCGCCCGAGGACCGCCTGGAGCTTGTCTTCTCTCCTGGCTCAGCCATTACATGTACAGGCCTGAGGGTCACCCCTGGGGATCCTGGGGGCCGGTCCTGAGCCAGGAGCCCCATCTACCAGTCACACCAGAGCCAGGGTGAGCTGGGGAACCTGCCCCACTTCCAGCTCCCAGAGGCTCGCCTGGCTCTGCAGCCTGGACCCCCCAACCCTGGGGGCTGCGGTGGCACACCCTGTCGGGGGCCCACCCGTGCCCGTGCCCCAGCCCCTGTGGAGGCCCATCCCCACACGTTCCTAACCACATCCCACCTGCACACCCCTCTGGCCTTTTGAAGATGAAGCAGTGGCTTACGGACAGAGGGCTTTTCTACTTCCCAGCGCTCGGATGCTCCCCACACGAAGGGAGGCTCTGACTCCAGGTCTCTACCTGGGCGGGGCCGTCCCTTGGTCCACCCCCTCCCCCGTCAGCACAGCAGTTCTCTCAAATGACACTCAGCCAAGGCTGCTCCTCCGAGACACCGTTTTTGACAGGGTACGGGTCCCTCTTGGCCCCGTGCTCGCGAGGCCTTTACTGGTTTGTAGAAACAGGTTGACGCCCGGAGGCTGGGGGTTTGGTCAGAGGTCACCCTCCGTGCTGGAGGCTCCGGGCTCACCGGGCCCTGAGCAGACCCCCGCCTGGGACGGGGTAGACGCCTTTGCAGGGAGGAAAGAAAAATACCATCTACCAATTGGCTTTGACAAAACAATTTCTGAAAATTTTTTTGCTTTATGTGGGAAATAGGTATAAATCTCATTTTATGCTGTATTTTATATCTTAGTTGTGTTTGAAAACGTTTTGATTTTTGGAAACATCGAAATAAATAATGGCATTTGTTGTACGCAGTGTGATCCTCTGATGTTGTCCCGCCGGCGCGGGGCCTGGCCAGGCCTCGCCCTGGACGCCGAGTGAGCTCGACAGACCCTCCAGGCTTCGCTGAGGAGCACTCAGAAGCCACGTCTGGACCGAGCTCTTCCCTCGGGGTCCCTGTGCTCCCTGGGGGTGGGGAGCATGCGCCTGACGCCCGGGGCTCTGACCCCAGCCCCACCTTCGGGGGCAGCCGGCGCAGAGTGGAGGGAGAAGGCCCTGGGGCACCTCGGTGGCTGAGAGGACGCACTGTGGGCGGCTGGAAGAGGAGCGCGGGGTCCGGTGGCTGAGGAGCGCTCGATGGTGCTCCACACGCGCTTTGTCTGTGGCCGTTTACGAACGGGACTGTTTAAAAGAGCTGGAGCTCTGAGCCTCACGATGACGACTTCTAAGCTTCCTCCTCGATGAGCTCGACTGCTTCTGCAACACGAACAGGGGCCCAGCTCGTGAGCCTGCCCCCGGCACCCCCGGGCCCCAGCCTCACGGCTGGCCTGGAGCTTCTTGAGCCCTGGAACCAGGGACGACAGAGGCCTCGGCACATCACTGCCTCACGGCAAAGGGCCGGGTCCGGAAGCGAGTCCCCCGGCCGGGCTCCCCGTGGCACTCGGCAGCCCTCAGAGCCTCGAACCAGGAGGCGGCCAGAGCCGGCTTGGCTCCTGTTTACTTTCATTTGCAAAAACGAGGTTGTTAACGTTTAAGGGCAGAAAACTACCCTAAGCGGCTGCTTACCTTTCTCCGCTTGCAGACCAGCACCTGGGCCGCTGGCAGCTCTCCTCCGTCCCCGGGGCTCGTCCCGGTGGCGCACCTTGGCTCCTCGCCCTCCTCTTCTGTCAGAAAGTCCTCGGTGCTGTCCCCAGGCTCCGTCCCTCCCAGGTCCTTTCTGGTGAACAGCTCGGCTGGAAGGAATGGGGGGGGGATGGGCTGCTTCAGGTGAGGTTCACCACGCAGGGCCCAGGACCTGAGGACATGTGGTGGGACAGAAAGACGGACGGAGGCTGGAGCCCACTTGCCGAGAGCTTAGGACAGACCAGACAGCCAGGATGCATGCCTGCGGGGAGGGGGGTGGGGGGCAGCCCCGCTTACGTGGGTATAGGTCTGTCATGCTGTCATCACTGTCACTCGCGGCTGTGCCGTCATCACTAGACACAGGTTCCCAGAAGGCCTCTTTCGGACGACGTGGCCTGGCGCCGTCTGTCTGGTCTTCTCTCCTCCTTCTCTTGTGCAAGAGGCAGGCAGGCACGTACTCCACACCCTGCTTCTGACACTTTTCATCTGGGGGACAGGCCAGCACGATGCCTGGTTCTGGGTTTGCCGCGGTCCCCCAGTGCGGAGCCAAGCTCCACCAGGGCCCCGTACCCCACAGTTTCTACCAGGAGAGGAAGGAGACCAGCACGGGTGCAGGTTGTGGAGTGAGAAGATGCAGGGGCGTGCTGGGCCTCGAGCACTGAACCCCCAGCCCCAGCCTAGCTCCCGGAAGCCTCTGGTACGCCAGCTGGGGCTCCACACTGCATGGTGGGGCTCGTGGGACAGGGGCCGTTGGCCCAGAGCAGTGGATAGAAACGGAGCCCCGATGAGGAGTAGGGTGGCATCGACAGGCCTGACTTGGGAAACATGCCCCGTGTGGGCCGCTCTCCTGTCCAGTGTGGCCCCCTCAGGGAGGAGGGAGAAGGGGGACCAGGCCCTGGTCTCCAATGTCACTGCCTGCTTCTGCCCACCTCCAAGGTCCTATCCTCTGTCTCATCTCTGCCACCCACTCTGTGGTCCCACCTGGCCTCCTGGCCACTGGCCTCTGCACCCACTGTCTCCCATCTGTATCCCCAGCCAGGTTTCCCGGCTGCCAGGCTCTGGCTCCTTCTGGCCACTGGTCCTGGGAGCCATGCACTCCAGTGTCGGGATGACTGTTCTGCTCCTGGAGTGACCCAGCTCTCCCTTTCCCGCCCACACCAAGCAGCCCTCAGGCTCTGCCCGGGCGCGGGATCCCTGCTTCTCAACCCTCCACAGTGTCCTTCAGTACTGGCCTTAGGTGAAGATGGTCTCATGTCCTCTGGGGAAACAAAGCCTTCAGACCTCTCTTCTTCATCCTGCCGGTGTCCATGCCCAAACCCACCGTACTCTGCTCATCTGGTCCTCCCCCACCTTCCCGTCAGGAACATTTGAGAAACCTACCACTCTCGAGACCTCTGCCCCAACACCACCCCACGTGGCTGCTTCTCTCCTTCTGGGGGCTCCTTCTGTGCTCAGGCCCAGCCCTGTCCCCTGTTCCATGGCTTCAGGAATGCAAATGCCACCTGTGTCAGTGGCGTGCATCGTCCGAGTGCTGGCCCCTGTTGTCAGTAGTCACCCTCCCTGCCACACGCTGACAGCAACGTTTCATTTTTCCACGAAGCCTGTCATCCAGATGCCACTCTCCTAAACCACCCCAGGTCTCGAGCCAGGAATTGGGGGTCACAGCTGACTTCTCCCTTCCCTCACCCACTGATCCTGCTCTGTGCACATCTTCTCTGCCAACACCTGTTCACCCCAGCCACGGTCACCTCACCTGACGCACAGCACTGAGCGGCCCCTCTTCCACCCCTCCCCACCCCGCCCCCCTCGGAGCCACAGTGACCCTGACACACAAAGTGATTGTGCTGGGCCCTGCTTCGGTCCTTTCAATGCCTCCCCACTTCATGTGGTCCTGACCTCCAAGGCCCTGTGTTCTTGTCCCCACCTACCCTGCTGACCCCACCTTGCAGGTGGCACAGTGGCCTTCCTCCAGGAGCTCCTGCAGCCAAGCGTTGTTCTGCCTCTGCCCCTGCCTGAGTCTTCGCTTCTACGCCCCACGTCCCTGAAGTCTCCGCCCAGGGACTCAGCCTCCCCGGGGGCCTCGTGGTGGTCCTGGGCACACGTCCTTCACAGCACTTGCTCGCCCGTAGTGACCTCTGCACCACCAGCTGGTGCCAAAGGGTGACCGAGACCCTTCTGCCCTCAAGAGGCGCGCATCCCCCAAACACCTGCGGAGTGAGGCAGGCCGAGTCCGCCCCTGGCTACTCACATTCTCGCAGAGCTGTCTGGTACCGGCGGCCCCGGGTGTGCCTCAGCACGTGCTCTGGGGACTTGTTGATGTGCCGCAGGGTGAGCCTGCAGAACAGCTGGTGCCTGGGGACAGGGAAAGCTCGGTCGGCGGGGACGTTCACGACATCCCCAGAGCCTGAGAGCGGAGGTCTGCGAGGTGACCCCAGCAGCAAGATTCTTAAAAGCTCCGCAAGCGATTTCTCTCCGCAGCCGGGGTGCAGAGCGCTGACCCAGGGCAGCTATGACCACCCCACCTTGCCCTGGAACACAGGCCTGGCCAGTCTGGGCAGCCGTGGGGGACCAGGAAAGGCACGTGGGAGACCGGCAGGCAAGGCGCGGGATGAACGGGAGCAGCCGCCCTCGCCCTCTTCCCTTCAGCCACTGGCGGCCATGCGTGTCCAGCTCCACCGAATTCTCCTTACACGTGCGAGGCTGACCCCGTCCAGAACTTCGGGTGACAAAGCGCAAGCCCTGCAGCTCCGAACGGCAGCGGACAAGCCCGGGTGACAAACCTCAGCCTTGCAGACACCGAACAGCACCGGGGAGGCGCCTATCCCACCCGAAGCTGGGCGCACCCGGCGGGGAGGGGTCGGGGCTCGCCGTCCACCGCCCGTCCCCACTCGGGAGCCCGCCTGCCGCGGCCCCGCGCACGTACGGGTTCTTGGTGCTGGGCACGATGTGCGGCTCGAGCTCTGCGTAGTCGAAGGCCGGGGCGGCGCGGACCAGCCGCCGGTACTTCTTGCCGCGGGTGTAGAGCTGGAGCTCGGGCAGGCGGCAGGGCAGCTCGTGGCCGGTGAGCGCGCATTTCACCTGCGGGCCGGAGGGCGGGCGCGGGGGTCAGGGGGGCCCAGGGCACACCGCGGGGCCCGCGCCTCCCCCGCCGGCCCCGCGGACCTTGTGGGCGCCGGGCTCCAGCCGCAGACTCGGGTGCTCGCGCAGGAAAGCGCACACGTCGGCCGAAAGCTCCGCCATGGCGCCGCGTGGGCTGGGGGCGGGGCTCAGCGGCGCCCCGGAAGCACATGCCTCCGGGCCGGAAGTGCCGTCGGGCAATGGCGGCGGCCGTGCGGTGCCTGGGGCTGCGGGCGGCGGGGCTGCGGGCGGCGGGGCCGGGGACGGTGAGCGCGGCGCGCGGCTGTGTCGGGTGGGCTCGGGGGCCCGCGCCCCGGCTGGCGCGAGCTCGGCCGCTGCCCCTGTCTCCGCAGGCCTCGCCCCGCGCGGTCAGGAGCGTCCTTGCGGTGCCCCCGCGCCCAGGTGAGGACTCGCTCGCGTGAGCCCGGGCGCCCGGGAAGAGCGGCTCCCGCGCCCGCCCCGCGCTCTGCACCGAAGTGCGCGGTTCCCAGCGCCGGACCCGGCCGACAGGGGTCTGGGACCCGCGGCTTGCGGGGGGCGCGTGCACCTGCAGCGGCGTGGGACGCTGGGCGGGGAGAAGAGGGTTTGGGGAGTCCGCTGGGGGCCTGCCTCTTCGCCGTCCGCGAGGCCCGTCACACTCCGACAGCTGCAGTGTGTTCTCGTGTGCGTCGTGGCGTCTCCGTCTCCGAGCGCTGGAAAACAGGCCGCTGGGAGTGCTCCTGGAGCCGCTCTCCCGAGCCTGTCCGGTCGGTCTGCGCGGGTGCGTCCTGGTGGAGCTCACCGCAGCTCGTGAGGACGGCAGAGCTGTTTTCCGGGGTGGCTGTTGGTGGCACGGCCGGGACTGAGCCCTAGGTCTTGTATTCAGTCGGTAAACATCCACTGAGTGTACCGGCTACCGAGCCCTGGTGTAGGAGCCGGGCTGGACAGAGGGTGCCGCAGGTTGGCTGCTAGCCGCAGCCTGTGGTCTGTTCCCTCTCCCGCAGTAGAGGCGGCGTCTCCTTGAGGAATGGGCTGCTCCCGTTCTGTTCGTGGAGGGCTTCTGACCCCGTGCCCGTGTCCTGAACCTCCTAGGGTTGGCCTGGGGGCCAAGCAGATGGGGCAGCTCTGCAGCCCAGGCACCTGCCACAAAAGCGCAAGAGGACTCCTTCCTCCATTGGTTTCTGCTTCTCATTCCTGTGACTGCCTTTGGCCTGGGGACATGGCAGGTAAAGACTGGCTTCTAGCTCTCGTGGCGCTGGGCACTTGTCCTTGTCGCCATCTGCTCACGTTTGTGCCGCTTCCACAGGTGCAGCGTCGAAAGTGGAAGCTGAGGCTGATGGAAGAGCTGGAGGCGAGAGTCGCTGCTGAGCCCGTCCCGCTGCCAGCAGAGTGAGTGTGTGGCTGCCCGCCTCGGGCTTGAGGTCAGCAGTGGGGCCTGGCTTCTGCTTGTAATCCTGACCCTTAGGCGGGGGGCGCGGGGCGCGCAAAACCAGTTGTCCTCCTGGGCTTCCTGACCACTGTTGCGAAGCTGCCTGAGATACTTAATACTTAGAAAAATATTTTTGATCCTGAGTTTTACCTTTTTCCCCGACGTGTCGTACCTGAGGATCTCGCGTTGCTGACGGCCCCTATAGCAGGATTCTAACCTGGTGGGTGAGGGCAGAGTGCGCCCCCATGTTGTGTCCTGACTTGAGAGCATGATCTTGAAAAAGTGCCCTGAATGACTCTACTGCCTCTGCCTCCTCATTTTGAGGCACTGTCTTGGAGGGACAGATACGGATGACAGAGCTTTTCTTTTAGGGGAGCAAACGCATGTGCCATGTCTGTGATGTGCAGGGTACAACCCGGCTTGGCCTCACCCTCCCTTCTCCCCACTCCCATGTAGCCCAATGGAACTGAAAAATCTGGAGTACAGGCCAGTGAGGGTCAGAGGGCACTTTGACCACTCCAAGGAGCTGTACATGATGCCTCGGACCATGGTGGACCCGGCCCGAGAGGCCCAGGAGGCTGGCCGTCTGTCTTCCTCACCCGAGAGCGGTGCCTACGTGATCACCCCCTTCCACTGCACTGACCTGGGGTGAGTGGGTCATGCAGGGATGCACCAGCCTTGGGGAAATCCAAGATACCCAGGAAGGTTCAATTCCTTGAGAGTTTGGAATTTGTACCTCTGACATCGTTAAGCCAATTCATTTTACTTCTTACTGAGTCACTGCTGTGTCTGGGGAGGCGAAGGACATCAGCCACTCCGGAGAAACGGTCTCGTGGCCAACGCGTTGCACGGTTGTGGTGCAGCCCGAGGAGGGGCTCGTGAGAGAACTCGAAAGGAAAGGAACCGGCCAGCTCTGCCTGGAGGGGGTGGGATCAGGGAAGGATTCCCAGGGGACTACTCAGGCTTGGCCTGGAGTTGGGAGGGCAACCTGTCCAGCAAGGGGGCATTGCAAGACCAACTAGAGCAACTTCCCAGCTCTAGGTCTGGGAGGGTCTCTCCGCCACCCCGAGTGGGTATTGGAGGCAGGTATACGAGGCAGCTGCTGCTGGGGGCGTCAGGGTGTGGACGCTGCACTGGGCGAGGCACAGAGGGGAGCAGAGATGGGGGCTGCGGACCCTGGAGATCAGCCTTTAGAGAGCTGATGGTCCTGTCATTAAGACCGGGCCGGGGAATGGGGGGCCTCTCCCATTTTAAACTCTTCCCAGGCACCATCCTTGTGCTCACAAGGACGACCAGTGACGATCTTTATCCGGAGCCCTTCCCCACCTGAAAGAGCATGCTTCTGTCACTGCAGAGTCACCATCCTGGTCAACAGAGGGTTTGTCCCCAAGAAGAAGGTGAACCCTGACACTCGGCAGAAAGGCCAGGTAACGGGTGTGACCCCTCCCTGTGAGCAGGCGCTCTAGAAACCACAGGCCCTGAAGCGCGATCTCCTTTCCCTCTCTAGATCCAGGGAGAAGTCGACCTAGTCGGGATGGTGAGGCTGACGGAGACCAGGAAGCCCTTTGTCCCAGAGAACAATCCGGAAAGGAACCACTGGCATTACCGGGACCTGGAGGCCATGGCCAGGCTCACAGGCGCAGACCCCATCTTCATTGACGCGGACTTCCGTACGTTGTGCCCAGCCCACCCCAGAGGAGCAGGTCGTGTCTGTAATACCTGGTTCCGCCCCCTTCCTACTGGCTACACGGGAGCGAGGGCGGGAGGAGCGTGGGGTCTGGCAGGGACCAAGGAAAGCAACGCGGGACTGGCTACGGGTTCGGAAACGACAGCTCTCAGGTGCTCTGGAAGGCCCCAAGAGCTGGCCAGTGTGCTGTGGGGAACACACAGCAGGTGGCCGTGATCATGGACATGGAGCACACGGTCTCTGCAGGGAGCACTGTCCCCGGGGGACCCGTTGGAGGGCAGACCCGAGTCACTCTGAGGAATGAGCACATGCAGTACATCGTCACCTGGTAGGTCCTGGTCTCCAGCTGCTCCTGCCCCCCCCCCCCCCCCCCCCCCGACCCTGATGGTCTCTCTCCTCTACCCGAGGTACGGACTCTGCGCGGCGACATCCTACCTGTGGTTTAAGAAATTCCTACGCCGGAGTCCTGGCCCGTGAGCTCGGGTCCTGGGTGCCCGGGCTGCAGGTGGCAGGAGTCACTGATTTCCAAGCTTTGTTTTTACTTGGGGTCGGGTCTGTCGGTGTAAATAAACCTCTTTGCTGTGCGCCCGCCTGCCCGCGTCCCTGCCTGCGCTCGGCCACGTGCCACTGAGCGGTCACGGCGATGTGCTCGCAACTGTCCCCCAGGTCCCCCACCTGCCCTGGGTTGGGAAACGCCTGCCACCGCCCCAAATGGACAGTGAGATGATGGACCGTGTCCACCCCAAACACCAACTCGCAGGGACGAGAGACAACTTTATTAGTTTATGTACAGTGCGCGGCCGCGGCCGCTCAGCCCAGTTTGGTGGCCAGCTCTTTAGCCTTTGCCTTCTCCAGCTTGGCGATGCGAGCCACCGACTTCGGGCCCAGGACGTTGCCTCCCCAGTGGCGGCGGATCTGCAACGACAGAGGGGTCAGCGTGGCCTCCTTCACGCGGTCTCCCCCTGGGCTGCTCCAAGTCCCCTGTCCAGCAGAACTGCTCAGGAGAGGCCGGGCGCCCGGTGCCGACTGGCCGTGCGGGGCGCGCGCCGCATCAGCTGCCGCTTACCTCGTCGTACCGGTCGTTGTAATTGGTCCTGATGGCTTCCACCAGCTTCGCCAGAGCCCCTTTGTCTTCCCTGAAAAGGCAGGGGGTGGACGAGGGTCACCAGCTTCTCAACCACCTTTCCAGAGAGCAGGGATGAGTCCCCCATCCGCCCCAACCCGAGCCCTTTGCCTCAGATACAAGGCGACCACACGGCTTGTTCAGGTGAAGAAATTCGTGACCATCATCGGCAAAGACTCAGGCACGCATCTCCTCTGTAAGGTAGCGTGTCTCGTCCTTAGGAATTAAATGACCCGAGGCAGAGGTGACTGACCCCGACGGGCTGCCGGGAGCGGTGGCCCCTCGAATACTCACGAGTTGACCTGCGTGAAAGCGACCGTGGTGCAGGTCTTCCTGTGGACCAGACGCCCCAGCCTGGCCTTCCCCTTGATGATGCAGTAGGGAACCCCCATCTTGCGGCACAGGGCGGGCAGGAACACCACCAGCTGGAAGACAGCGTCTCC